GGAGGTCTCACTGAGTCTAGTGGTTGTGGTATGATCAAAATTAGACACTTCTCCAACGCTGCATTTTTCTACCGATTCTGGGCTTTTTCTTGCTGTTCTAGATCAGGTTGGATAGATTTACTTACAATTTAGGATAAGTTCGGATATAGATTTAAAGGTACTAGGAAAAGTCTAGATGGATTAGGATAGCTTGGGATAAATAGGATGGTTTTACTATTATCTTCTAAGAATTTCCTGGTAATTGTGACTGTCGACTACATGTTATGGTGTGCTAGAATTTATTAGGGCTTTTGAGAATTCTCTTAGCCAAAACTCGTAAGGGGTGCTAAAATGTTCCTATCGGGCGTATTATACATTTACCCCTTCAATCAGAAGACTTAAGACTTACTCCCTCGATCAAAAGACTTACTCCCTCAATCAAAACACTTACTTGGGAGGATTTTATTTATCTAAAATTTTGGGAACAGTCTAAAAATTAATAGATGATTATTTTTAAAAATAAAAATTTGAATTTTTCGTTTTTTATAACTAAGATCTCACCCTCCAAAAATTGGAGAGTCTTTGCTATATCGTGAGACATTATTTCTTTCAAGTGCATAAAGATTTTGATTTGAGTTTTTCATCAAGGTTAGTTTACGGATCGAATAATTTACATAAACAAATTTGGGGTCCTAAAATTACTTTTGAATTCGTTACCTGAGGATGTAAATGTTCAGTATGCTCTAGTGTGAGCATGAAATCTTTTCGCTCTTCTTTATTTTTATTTTTTTTATAAAGAAAAAAATATTTGATACGGAAAAAAAAGAAGTCCATAGAGAAATTGGAGAGCTAACTCAGTATCATCGTAGCTATGCTCGGATCTACAGAATCCTAAGTTCCAAATGGTTCCAAACAAGGAAATGGCCCCAAAGTTGTCCAAAACCATGCAGTTCACTGTAGTGAACCACATGATTCGGTACAGGCCATTCTTATAGCCGGTTCGCTCTGAATTGACAAGCCCATTACCTCGGCGAGGGCCGAGTCAAAGGGACTAGTAAGAGTTTTTAAAGTAAAAAGAGAGAGAGAGAGAAAGAGATGATACTCTCAAGTTATCCATTGTGACTACCTGTATGACTTCAGGAACAAATAAAATGACTTCAGGAACAAATAACATTTTAAGCATGCCGTTGAAATGATTGGGGTTGAACTTTGGCTCTCTCATTTCCTTAATCGTCGTGAATAAGGGAGGCCCAGGCCCAGGCCCAGGGCCTACATGGCTAGGGCTCAAAATAAATGAAAAAAACTAAAAGAAATGGCTGAACTGTGCCAACACTGGCCCTAGCCTGATCCTCGGGCTACAATTTGTGGCCTAGGTCGGGCCAATTGGGCTAGCCCACCCCAGCTTGGTCTATTGCTGGCCCTAGTCATGAGTTGGGGAGAGAGATTTTTTGCTTAGCGGAGCTAGAGAGAGAAAAGTTATTACTTTTAGGGTGCGGTTTGTATAGAGCATAGGCTCTAAATAATCAAATTAGAGCTTACTTTTAAATAGTATCGAGAAATGTGGTTTCAATATTGAAAATCTTTGTGATAGCCTTAAAATATATTTGTATATATACAAACAAAGTGAGTCAAAATATATGTTACAAAATACACTATTTTCAAAAGTTGTAATTTATTTTTATTCTCTTGCCCATGCATCGTGATGTCGAGATGATCAATTTGAAGATATTTGAGCATCAAAACAATCTCTTCTAATGACATTTTTTATGTAGGCTCAAATTTAGTTGTTTAGAGCCTCGGCTTTATTTAAACTTTTTCCTTATTTTTATGTCAGAGCTAAAGAGAGATTTTGCTCATTAGGGCTAAAGATAGAGAGACCATAGTTTAAAAAAATTATCTGGTCGGTCGGACCACTTATCAATGCCCTAAATAGTCTAGTTCAGATTAAAATTAAGTTTTGATAAAAAAAAATCAATCAAAATTAACATTTAATCGATTTTAGTCGGTTCAACCTAATCCAATGAACTTTTTTTAAAAAAAAATATTTTATTTTCAATTATTATCTATGTTTCTTATAATTTAAAAAAAAAAATTCAAGCTGATCCAACCACTGATAATATTGACTACACAGATTCCACACAAATATAATGACTAGCCGTATCCAAATAATACAAGAGAGAATATTCGTTTTGCTTAAAGAGAGCTGATTCAGTGTTTCTCTCTCTTCGGTGTTATCCCCTCTCTCTTCAGTGTTTTCTCTCTCTCTTTTGAGTGCTCTCTCTCTCTTCAGTGTTTTCTCTCTCTCTATTTTGAGTGCTCTCTCTCTCTCTCTTCAGTGTTTTCTCTCTCTATTTTGAGTGCTCTCTCTCTCTCTTCAGTGTTTTCTCTCTCTATTTGAGTGCTCTCTCTCTCTTCAGTGTTATCTCTCTCTATTT